AAAAAATAAATATTAAAAATTCTCTCTCTCTCTCTCTCTCTCTCTCCTCTCTCACTCTCTCTTTAAAAAAATGCATAAATAGGGGCTGCAATTTTGGCTCAGTGGTAGAGCACTTGCCTAGTATATGTGAGGCAATGGGTTCAATCCTCAACAACACATAAAAATAAATAAAATAAAGGCATCCATCTGCAACTAATTTTTTTTTAAAATATTTATTTTTCTGTTTTCGGCGGACACAACATCTTTGTTTGTATGTGGTGCTAAGGATCGAACCCGGGCTGCATGCACACCAGGCGAGTGTGCTACCGCTTAAGCCACATCCCCAGCCCCAACTAATTTTTTTTAAATCCATAAATATATCAACTCAATCATATATGACATCCTATAGGACTGGGTTGTAGCTCAGTGATAAAGTGTTTGCTCTATCATTCTATCACTCAATTCTCAGCACCACAGATAAATAAAGATCCATCAACAACCAAAAAAAAAAAAATTTAAAAAAAGAAATCCCAGGACTGGGAATATAGCTCAATTGATAGAATACAAGGCCCTGGGTTCAATCCCCAGCACTTACCAAAAAAAAAAATCCCAAATAAGTTTTACTTTCTTTTACAACTCTTTTGCAATATTTATAGCCAACTTAATCATATATGCAACTTTTTAAGATTTAGCTTCACAAACCTTCTGCAACTTACTTTGACTTTTTTGGGGGTGTGGGGGGGAGTACCGGGGATTGAACTCAGAGGCACTTGCCCACTGAGCCACATCTCCAGCCCTATTTTGTATTTTATTTAGAGACAGGGTCTCACTGAGTTGCTTAGGGCCTCACTTTTGCTGAGGCTGGCTTTGAACTTTCGATCCTCCTGCTTCAGCCTCCCAAGCTGCTGGGATTACAGGCATGCACCACACTGGGCCTTACTTAGACATTTTAGAATTTGTTTCATCCTTATTTTTGTCCTCTCTTTCATCTTGAACTTTAGGACGAAAATATTACTTTACCCTACAAGATACTTTCTCATCCAGAAACATTCCCTTCCCCCTTTAATTTTCCTTATCAAAATGTATTTCCAGGGCTGGGGATGTGGCTCAAGCGGTAGCCCGCTCGCTTGGCATGCGTGCGCCCGGGTTTGATCCTCAGCACCACATACAAACAAAGATGTTGTGTCCGCCTAAAACTAAAAAAATAAATAAATTCTCTCTCTCTCTCTCTCTTAAAAAAAATGTATTTCCATACATATAACTTTCAAACATCTCTTCCCTAGTTGCTGAACTGTTAAATTTATTCTTTGAAATAATCATTATTAATTTGAACAAATTTCTCCCTTTAATAAGATGAAATACTTTATGCTTTTCACCATACTTTACAAAACACAGACAAAACCTTTTGTACTCTTTGCATACAGAATTACATTTATTAATTAGAATTTTATTTCTCAGTAACCTTCCTTTTAAAATCTTACTGTTTTTTTCCACTTATTAATTTATAAGAACACATTTAATGTATCCAAATACATGTTACTTTATGGATTTAAGAAGGCAAGAATACTTAAATTTATGTTTAGCAGTTGATATTTCAGTATTTTTTTTTAAAGAGAGAGAGGAGAGAGAGAATTTCAATATTTATTTTTCAGTTATCGGCGGACACAACATCTTTGTACGTGGTGCTGAGGATCGAACCCGGGCCGCATGCACACCAGGCAAGCACGCTACTGCTTGAGCCACATCCCCAGCCCCGATATTTCAGTATTTTAACTTTGCAAATTAATCAGATGTCTCCTCTAACAAATACACTTATAAATGTTTATCCCATTTATGTTAAGTCTAATTTGCCCATTTTAAATTTAAATTACCCAAAAGCCAGGTATTTGAGGCACTGGGCTCAATTAACATTTTTTCCTGTTGAAGAAAAATCCTAAAAATCATTACACTTTAAACATTTTATAGAAAACAATGCTCTCTTGAATGGCTGACCACTTTGGAAAATGTGTGGGTCAGTAATTTTAAACACATCATTATTTTCGTAAAGGAATATATGGGATATCTATATGAGACTCAAGTTCACTTTTGGATCTGATTTGAGTCAGTCCAGATATTTAAAGAATGTGGGGGCCATGAGGCACATTCTACCACTGAGTTACAACCTCAGACCCCCTTCATTCTTTTCTTTTTGGGGGAGGGGTACTAAGGATTGAACTCAGGGGAGCTCAACCACTGAGCCTCATCCCCAGCCCTCTCTATATTTTATTTAGAGACAGGGTCTCACTAAATGGCTTTCAGCCTCACTAAATTGCTCTACCACTGAGCTACAACCCTAGCCCTATTAATTTATTTGTGTATTTAGTACAGTTACTGTAGTAAGTAAAGGTATAGAGATACTGTCACATAAACATACACATGTTACATGTATGATATGCAGTTTTTATACAATATTAAATATATCATTATATATTTCTTTATATTTACATATGGCATATTTATATTTATTATTTGTTTACTATTACATGATTTCTGTACTGGTAAATATTATACATCACTATATTTCTATATAACCATATACGTATCACGCCAAATGCCATTATGTTCATACTCCTAATACATATTTTATAAATATATATATTTTATACACACACACTAGACGAGCTCAAGGGAGCGGAGCATGTGGAAACCCCTCTCTTCTGCCAAAAGTCGGAGTGTGTTCGTTCATTTACTGATTAATGAGGAGGTTACCAGAACATAACTCAGTGCACTTAGAACAGTGCCTAGAACATGGGAAATGCTGTAATTTTTCCATTACTACATTTATGTTTTCTGCACTAGATCGCGATGCATACCTAGTCTTTTCGGTGGGCGGGAGTTCAAAATGTTTTAAGAGGGGCTGGGGATGTGGCTCAAGTGGTAGCGCGCATGCTTGCGGCCCAGGTTCGATCCTCAGCACCACATACAAACAAAGATGTTGTGTCTGCCGAGAACTAAAAAATAAATATTAAAAATTCTCTCTCTCTCTCTCTCTCTCTCTCTCTCTCTCTCACACACACACACACACACACACACACACACACACACACACGCTCTTTAAAAAAAAATGTTTTAAGAAAAAAATGTTTGAGGAACACAATTACAAAGGGACGGAGAGTGTCCTAAACTACACCTCTTTAACCCTCCCAATAACACTGAATTCTACTCCATTTTTTAGTTCCCATTTTCCACCTGGGGGAAACCGAAGCTCTGTGATGACAAAAATTAAAGACAGCGCTACCCAACACCGGAAGAGGCGTTAGAAAAGGCGCAGAGTGGCCTCCACGTGCTCGGGTATTTTAACAACGCACTTCACTTAAAGTTCAAACCCCCAGCAGTCATTTCGCTTCATGCCATGCGTGGAATGAATAGGCGCTATCATGCCCGTTGCACGCTGGGAAGTGTAGTCCATAGGCTCAATGACCACCCAGATTCAATTTGGGAGGAGCGAGGGAGTAATTCGATCTTTTTTTTTTTCCTTTTAGTTATCAAAAGGCCTTTACTTTATTTACTTTTATGCGGTGCTGAGAATCTAACCCAGTGCCACACACATGCTGGGCAAGCTCTCTACTACTGAGCCACAACCCCAGCCCCAGCAAGTCGTTCTCGGTGACGGAACAAAAGAACAAAGAATCAGTTCTCCTGCGTTGCGACGTTTTGAACACGCAGTGCGTGAGTTCAGCCGTTCGGGTCGTGCCCATTGCATGCTGGGAATGGAGTTCGCGTGACCCGGATATGTCCACCGAAGATGATGGGACCCACGTTGTACGTTCAGATCGGGTCTGGATTTGGCGTTTCAGGACGTTAAGTTTGCCCCGCTTGTAATACCGCTTAGGTATGCGTGACAGGCATTCAGTTCAACTACGAAAACAAACTGAAGCCCTATCGTTTCTCACCCGTTTATGGTCTTGCTGTGGCTCTGACTGCTGGCGCACCACCTTCCTTCCTCCTGCACCTCCCCGCACCAAGAGCTAAGGTAGGATGTGGATTCTGGCCAAGACTGGAGGCATGCCTGCTCTGTCCCGCCGGCAGGGGATGGAGGAAGTTGCGCTTTCCGCGCCGCGGGTTACATAGTCTAGGCGTTTAGCATCTGGTAGACTCCAAGATTTGTCTACAGAAAGGAACTAGAATGCTAGATGAACTCGAGGGAGCGGAGCACGTGGCAACACAATGGTTCGTGGGGCTGCCCAGAAGGGGGATCGAGTGGTCCCATAGGGACCACCGTCTTGGATGTGATAAAGACAGACCGGGGCGTGTGGCCAGAGGGCCATTCATGGAAGGTTAGTGGGACCTCTGGGGTAATAGAAGTCTGGTGGGATGATACCGGGAAATCAATAGGAGCTAATTAGGAATGTTTTTGTCAATATATTATTCATGGGGGCTTGTGGGTTGTGTTCATTGATTGATTAGAGGAGGTTGTGCAGTTGGCAACTAGAAAATAGAGAGGTGTTTGGGGGTGTGTTCCCCAAGGGATTGATGAAGATATAATATACAATGGGTTAATGGATAGTGATGGGGCATAGTAATCAAAATGGTGAGGCTACAGAGGAAATAACAAAGATGGATGGGAGTCCTGATTAAGGCACTAACAGGAGCAGTGATAAAATAAGACACAATGAGAGGCTGATGGGCTTGTGTTGGGATGTTGTGCCATGATCATGGAGGAATTAATAAGGGCAGAGTGAGCAAAGAGTGGGTAATAGAAAGCTGTTGGGATGTAGTCATCAGATGATCAGTGGAAGGCAGGATGGGCAGTAAGGAAATAATGGGGGAATGGGGAACTTACCTCTGAGCATCAGGGAGTAATGCTACTGTATGTTAATGAAGGGTTACCAGATGACTAGTGGTGTTATCTATAGGTCAATTGGAGTGCTGAGTTAATGGGATCTGATAAATCAATACTTGAGAACTTAATGGGGAACTAACAGGCCATAATCCTCTAGGCATAATCAGGTGTTAAGGATGTCGTAAGAAGTTATTACTGGGAGCCTAATCATTGAAGGGATAAGTGGAGGATGGGTAGACAGAAAAAGATTAAGGAGATGGGAAGTACAGCGTACAGCGAGGGTAAAATGGATGAAAAGCAAGGGGTTAATCGGGGGCTAATAGGGCTCTTTGGAATAACTGAAGAAATGGTCAGTAAGATGTTAATGGGGATGAAGTGGGCAGAGAAAGGTGAGAGAGTCACAGAGCCAGGTGCGGTGGTGCTTGCCTGTAATCCCAGTGACTCGAAAGGCTGAGGCAGGAAGTTCGAAAGGCTGAGGCAGGAAGTTCGCAAGTTTAAAGCCAGTCTTGGCAATTTAGCAAGGCCCTAAGCAACTTAGTGAGACTTTGTGTCAAAATTGAAAAATAAAAAGAGCTGAGTTGTAGCCCCGTGGTTAAGTCCTCCTGGGTTAAATCCCCAGTACCAAAAAAGAAAAGAAAGGAAAGGAAAGAACTATGAGACACAGATTACTGCATGGAGTGTCAGTAACAGGGATGGATAGTGGACAGGGTTCAGTAACAGGTCATTCTATCAAACAACTTTTGGGTTTGTGGGATCTTCAGGGTAAGTGTCTGTGATGAGCAATAGGGCCTGAGAAATTAGTGATAGGATCTTTGGGGCCCCATGAGGTCAATGGGGTCAGTGGGTGGACTTCAGTTTTCTCAGGAGTTCGGTGAATGGTCTTGTGCATCCCGTGAGCATAGTTAAGTGTGCATGGTTCTCTCTGCCCTGCATAGGTAGGTGGTGGCCCACTCACTTGGTTACTAATACACAGTGGCATCAGCTGACTGCTGACAAGTCCTTGAGCAGTGTGAAATGGGACGGACATCAAAGGACAAGCGGGATGTCTACTACCGTCTGGCCAAGGAGAATGGCTGGCGGGCCCGCAGTGCCTTCAAGCTGTTACAACTCGATGAAGAATTCCAGCTCTTCCAAGGTCCCTAACTGGTGGGCAAGTCACCCTTGGGGGAGGATCAGCACAGACACGTGCCTCATTCTGCAGAGCTCCCTGCCATGGGTGGGCTGATTGGAGGGTCTCTGGGGCAAACAGGAAGATGAGTCAAATACTCAGGAGGAGGTTGGCACCTGGGCAGTAGGTAGACATGGATGCTCCCCACGGGAGAGGGATAAACTTTGCAGGGTCCTCAGGCTTGAGAGATGGGTGCGGCTGACCAATATACCTTCACTGTGTGTGCCCAGGTGTGACACGGGCAGTTGATCTATGTGCAGCCCCGGGCAGCTGGAGCCAGGTGCTAAGCCAGAAGATTGGGTAAGTGGTAGGAGAGGTCAGGAGGGACCAGGTGGGGGAAGGGCCAGAAATGAAAACTGGGCTGATGTGGGCCACATTGTCCACAGGAGCCAGGGGTCTGGACAAGTTGTGGCTGTGGATCTGCAGGCTATGGCTCCACTACCAGGTGTGGTACAGATCCAGGGAGACATCACCCAGGTGAGAATGTGGTTGAGGGTATTGGGATGTATTCTGAGTGAAAGCCACCACCTGGGGGCTGTGGAAAGTGGAAGATAGAGCAATAGAATTAGAAAGAGGGCTGGGTGTGTAGCTCAGTGGTAGAGTGTTTGCCTAGCATGTGCAAGGCCCTGGGTTTGATCCCTAGCACTGCAAAAAGAGGGATGGGAGGGGGTAAACAGGCTAGAAAGACAAAGACTACCAGCTGAGAAACAACCAGCAGGTTGTTACCACAGGGCAGCTACAAATAATGATGACACTGGGTCCCTAGACATGGAACCCTATTCTTTGAAAACTTGGATTACCCAGGGCCTTCCAGTCCAGGGCCATGAGTAGGTGGGGTTCAAGGGAAGTAATGGGGAGCCCTGGGGCCACTCATCATCCCTCTTTTTCTAGCTTTCCACTGCCAAGGAGATCATCCAGCACTTTGAGGGCTGCCCTGCGGACCTAGTGGTGTGCGATGGGGCTCCCGACGGTAAAAGTGGGGAGGAGTATCCTTCTCGGTGCCTCTCACCTTAATTGACTTTCTGCCTCTTCCTTCTGTTCTCAGCTTTTCTCCACATCTTGCAATTTATGCCCACCTCTGCTGCCTGTTCTCTGCCTCTATCTTTGCTCCCACCCCTACCAGCCTTTCGGGTTTTGTTTCGTTTTGTTCTACAGGATTGGGGATAAAACCCAGGGTCTCATGCATGCCAAGCAAGTGCTTTACCACTGAGCCACATCCCTAGTCTTCAATTTTGGTTTTGTGCCTCTTGTCCACCCTTCCTTCTTCTCTCTCTACCTGTTGAATTCCTGTTGAATTCCACATTACTTTTTTTTTTTTTTTAAACCAATCAGTCATCCATTCAAAACTCATTTGTGGCTGGATGTGGTAGCACATGCCTTTAATCCCAGCTACTCAGGAGGCTGAGGCAGGAGGATCGAAAATTATATGCCAGCCTGGGCAACTTAGTGAGACTCTGTCTCAAAATTTTAAAAATAAAGAGCTGGGGATGTAGCTCAGTGGTAGAGTGCTTGCCTAACATATGCAAGACCCTGTTCTGTCCCCAGTACTATATACACAAAAAAATTTGCTGAACACCTGTTACGTTGGGAAGAAATTCACAAATAAAATTTCATTGATCTGTTGGGCATGGTGGTACAAGCTGGTAATCACGGCTACTTGGGAGACTGAGGCAAGAGGGGTATTAAGTTTGAGGCGAGCCTGAGCAATTTAGCAAGACCCTATTTAAAAAATTAAAAGAGGGCTGTGTATGTAACTCAGTTGTAGAGCACTTGCCTAGCTTGCATCAAGCCCTGTATTTAGTCCTCAGTGTACACACACACACACACACACACACACACAGACTCCACTTCATGGAGCTCATGCTTTAGTGGGAGCAGATGGAAAAAAAATAAATGATTAACTAGCTGGGCATGGTGGCACATGTCTGTAATCCCCACAACTCAGGAGGCTAAGGCAGGTGGATCACAAGTTCACAGCCAACTTCAGTCATTTAGTGAGGCTGTAAGCAACTTAGACCCTGTCTCAAAATACAAAATAAAAAATGGCTGGGAATGAAGGTTGGTGATTAAGCACCCATGGGTTCAATCCGTAGTACCCAAAAATAACAATAGTAAAATAAAATATGACTGAATATCTAGCATGTTAAAAAGTTATTGGTAAAAGCTAGAGATGTAGCTCAGTGGTAGAGAGTGCTTGCCCAAGATGTGCTTAATTCCCAGCACTAACACACACACACACACACACACACACACACACACACACAATGGGATATGTACCATAGGGAAATCAAAGAAACAGGCAGATAAATGGGAAATGTGTTGGAATTTTAAATAGACAGTGAAGGCCTCACCTTCTTGACAGCAGAGACCTAAAGGAGGTGAGGGAGCAAGCCATGGATATATATCTGGAGGAAGAGTGAGCCAAGCAAAGTTTCAGCCTGTGCAAAGACTCTGAGGTGGGAAGGTGCTCAGTATATATGAGGAAGAGTGGAGAGATCAGTGTTGTTGGAACAGAGTAAGGGGCGGGGGGGCAGTGATACGAAATAAGGCAAAGGGCTGGGATGTGGCTCCGTGGAAAAGTACTTGTTTGGCATATGTAATACCCTGAGTTTAATCCCCAGTACCGTTAAAAAAAATAAAGGAAATAAGAAAAGTGACAGGAGACAGATGCTGGTGGGCTGCAGTGATGATGTTGCCTTTTTCACTGGGATGAATGCTTGGAGAAAACTGTGAGAGGGCTAGGCATGGTGATGCACATCTGTAATCCCAGTGACTCAAAGGGCTGAGAATGTGGCTTGGTGGTTAAGTGCCCCTGGATTCAATCCCCAGTACCAAAAACAAACAAACAAAAAATGGAGTATCATGGGCAGAAGACTGTGCCTGGCTTAGCTTGTGGCAAGACCCACAGCTGTTTAAGCAGTGGGAGGGACAAGGGTGGAAACAGGGCCCCAGGAAGAAGAGGCCACTGTAGTAGTCCAGGTGAGTGATAAATGGCTATGATGGAAAGAAGAACTAAGGAACTGGGCCTGAACAACTGGAAAGATGAAGTGAGTGAAATGGGGAACATGGGGAGAGGAGCAGGTTTGAGAAGGGAGATCAGGAGTTTGCTTTTGGACTTGTTGGAGCTGTACGATCTTGCCTGTCAATCTGGAGCTCAGGGAAACCATCTAGACTAGAAGTGGAAATGATAGTGTTGCTTGGGCTGTGCATGTGTTTGGAGAATTACAGTTATTTCCTAAGGGTTAGTAGCTCAGAATATTCCTCCAGTTGGCAGATACTAATTTGCATCCAGAATCTTAGCAGATGGCAACTGTTGTTTTTGGCTATCTAATATCTCTGGTATGAGAAGAAGCATAGAACAAGAGCAGCCCCCCTAATGTTCTTCCTCTCACCACAGTTACTGGCCTCCATGATGTGGATGAGTACATGCAGGCCCAGCTCCTCCTAGCCGTGAGTAATGTCTGGCCACCCCTGCCCTCCTTTGGTCCCCTCCCAACTATCTGCACCTCAGCCTCAGCCATCTGTCCTGCTCACAGGCTCTGAACATTGCTACACATGTCTTGAAGCCAGGGGGCTGCTTTGTGGCCAAGGTAAGTCTTGGGCAACCTGGTAGAGTATAGAGAGAGGTCATTGAGGGCTGTCCTCACCTCTCCATCTTGGCCTCTCCACCCTACAGATATTCCGAGGGCGGGATGTGACGCTGCTTTATAGCCAGCTGCGGGTCTTCTTCTCCAATGTGCTCTGTGCCAAGCCCAGGAGCAGCCGGAACTCCAGCATTGGTCAGTGCAGCAGAGCCCAGGCTGGCAATGGGCTACTTGGGAACTCAACCAACACGGGGTGGAGGTGGCAGTCCTTTACCCCTCACCCCAGATTCCCCCCACAGAGGCCTTCGCTGTCTGTCAGGGTTATGACCCTCCTGAGGGCTTTGTACCAGACCTGACCAGACCCCTGCTGGACCATTCGTACGGTGAGAGCCAAAGCTTTGGGCCCATCACTAGGGAAACTAACCCCAGCCTCGTGCAAGTGATGTGTCTTCAGCCTCACCCCTTGGGGACTATTTTGTCCCAGAAGAGCTTCAACCCAGTTAGTCCACTAGTGGTAACTCTTGATCTTGGTGAAAACTCTGTCCTTGGAGGATCCTAAGCCCTGTCCCAGGAAAGACTTCACCTGCCTAAGAAAATTCTGTCTTAGGAAGACCTTAGTTATACACCCCCAGGTGGAAAGCTCACCCTTGTCAAACTTTTGCCTCGTGGGGGTTTTTTCATGTGTGTGTATGTGTGTGTGTGGTGGTGGTGCTGGGATTGCAACCTGGGGCCCAACCCACACTTGGCAAGTGCTCTACCACTGAGCCACATCCCCAGCCCCCATGAGGTGAGGGTCTCTAGCCTTGACCCA